CCTGGGAGTTGCGTTACGCTTTGCTGTTGTTAGCATGTCTACCTTCATTTGTATCAGGCTGCCATGTGTTTACTAAGAGGCTCTAAAACGTGCGTTTTGCATAAACGTGCGTCTCCAAGGTCTCTATTGAACTTACACAACTTAGCTTACATGACTGGGGATCAGAGCGTCAAGATGAACATGAACGTCCCCCTCTCCTGATCATTTTAGATATGTGGACTAGACTATCTATTGTTCGGACTATCGTCTCTCCGGCTGTCGTCTAGTGTGCTAGTATGTACGCAGCGTTTCGGCCAGTTAAGTCCCCGGCCGCCATAAGTTCTTTTTGATTCCTAAAAAGAACTGGATGGCGTTTGACATTCAGTGATTTGATCCGTCAGAATTGCTGGAATACGAACCAGGGTCTTCTGATGCAAGTCCAGTGCTTTTTTAGTCAACCGGGAGGGTCTCTCTCTCCCTCCCTCTCTCTCTCTCTCTCTCTCTCTCTCTCTCTCTCTCTCTCTCTCTCTCTCTCTCTCTCTCTCTCCTCTCTCTCTCTCTCTCTCTCTCCTCTCTCTCTCTCTCTCTCTCTCTCTCTCTCTCTCTCTCTCTCCTCTCTCTCTCTCTCTCCTCTCTCTCTCTCTCTCTCCTCTCTCTCCTCTCTCTCCTCTCTCTCTCTCTCTCTCTCTCTCTCTCTCTCTCTCTCTCTCTCTCTCTCTCTCTCTCTCTCTCTCTCTCTCTCTCTCTCTCTCTCTCCTCTCTCTCTCTCTCCTCTCTCTCTCTCTCTCTCTCTCTCTCTCTCTCTCTCTCTCCTCTCTCTCTCTCTCCTCTCTCTCTCTCTCTCTCCTCCTCTCTTCTCTCCCTCTCTCTCTCTCTCTCTCTCTCTCTCTCTCTCCTCTTCTCTCTCTCTCTCTCTCTCTCTTCTCTCTCTCTCTACTCTCTCCTCTCTCTCTCTCTCTCTCTCTCTCTCTCTCTCTCTCTCTCTCTCTCCTATCTCTCTCTCTCTCTCTCTCTCTCTCTCTCTCTCTCTCTCTCTCTCTCTCTCTCTCTCTCTCTTCTCTCTCTCTCTCTCTCTCTCTCTCTCTCTCTTTTTCTATCGAAAACGTGAGTAGAACCAACCAGTTCGTGAGTAGAACCATATTTATGGTTTCCGAACGGTGCGGCGTAGCCGAGCCAAGCTACACATAGCTACAGTGAATAGCGAATCTATTCACGTAAAAAAATGAGATGTACCTTGTAAGGTCGCTTACCCATAGCATATCAAAGTCAGGCCTTGGCTGTCAGCGAAGGCATCTCCAGGGAATCGCCCAAGGTGATGCAACAGCGGAGTGTTAGACGAAGGCCATGCCTTATCTGAGATAGTTTCATAGGGAAGAAACCAATTGAAATTTGAATTGCAACAAATCCATTGGCCTAGGATCAGGTATAGAGGTCAGAAGGAGGGCAAAACTCACCTGCTTTTTTACCCGAGACCTTGTGTTTTTCGGGGAGCTTCTGGTGCTCATTTGGAATACATTAATGACAGGTGTGTTAACGAACCTATCAAATCTAATAAATCTGTTAATGACCTCAACAGGCATGTTCAATGGGCTTTTTAAGAACCAGAGTATGCCACAGACTTAAAATGACGAAGTCAACATTTTGTTTTAAATAACATGCCGCCTAGCGCAATCCTTGACGCTTATTCAAATGACGAAATGGGAGCAATTTCGTAGATATTTGGTCATCTTGAGCTTATAAAGGGCAAACAATGTCACTAAATTCATGGAAATGTTGCTTTTGACATCTAGCTTCGCGGCCGTTACATCAGGTCTGTGGACACTTCAGACACCAATCTGGAGTTTTATCTTGTTTGCACTTATTTGACCTAAAGGTCATAATCTGAAAACCTCAAATTTTGACACAAGTAAGTTCACGTACAGGTCAATCTATCCTACGAGTCTGGTGCCTCTAGCTTTGAGTTTTCGAGATCCCAGAGGCGGGCAGATTGACTCCCAACCGAACGAAGGGTATTCAGGAGGCCACTCGGGCGCGCGATAAAGCCGAATGAAGCGCGCTAGGTGAAATACACTACGCACGGCCGGCTTGTCACGACAGGTGTGGTGCGAGGGCAAAAGGGCGAAATGTAAACATGACGATATCATTTAAAAGATGCTGGTTGGCAAAGGCGGCATGCAAAAAGGTGAAAAGCTTGCAAAAAAGACGCGCTAAATTACGGGCTGTCTAATGTGATAACGTGCAAAAGGCGTTTCACTTGGCTCAACCTAACGTTTTTCTTTAACACGCCATCATTAGCACCCACCATCTTGGCGCGGGATTAGACATTTTTTATATTCACATTTGACAAGACGTACTCCAAGACATATTCTTACGTCTCTTATTCGATAAGAAACATTGGCGAAAATTCCAGCGGGAGCTCTTTCCCTCTAGGGAGAGCTCCTGCTTGCGGGATAAAAACCAAGTTGTCATACCCACACATATCATACCATGCGTATAGCCTCGCTGTCATCCTGTGTGGGCGTGACGCGCCATTGCAGCCCAACTGGTGCCTTGTGCGGCCGGCACGCTGTGCGCGCTGCGCGGCGGCGCGGCGGCGGCATCCGCGGCGCGGCTGGCGGCAGCGAGAGCCCGGGGCTGCGCGCACGCCGTCGCACCGGACCTAGGTGCGGTGCCCGGCCACCAGCGGGCCGCCGAGCCGCCCGCCCAGCTCGCCACCTCCAAGATCAGGCGCCCTCCCAACGCCTTCATGGTGTTTGCCAACGAGCACAGGTGAGCTCTTGCGCGCCCGGGTTCAACTGAGGTCGCCTACTGTCGAGATTCTAACGAGAGAAGTGCTGTGCTGTTTCTTCGTCTAGTGTTGTAATAATATTTCACGAATTTTTGTTGACCAATCGTGTAGGGGTAAGCCGCCCCATTATAAGCTCTTAAAAGTCGTATGAGATATTCATTACGTTGCCAGCCTAGAGGCCACGTTCGCTGCAAGACTCACGCTTCTCAGAATGCCCCAAGCCACATGGTACCCAAATGACGGCCCGCAGAACTCAATCACTTGGGGCGTGCTGCTATTGATGCTCGTGTTACCCGGGTCGTACAATGCGTTACGTGTCTTACGAGCTGCCCGTGCCGTGTTACTCATCGTCGTCCGGATCGTAATTTCGATTGCAAAACAAGCATCGAATCGACACGCATGCATGTTATATAAAACTATTACTATGCAGGCACTATAAACCAACAATGACAGCACTATAAATTAACTATTATGGCACTATAAACTAGCTATGGCGGCACTATAATCCAGCTATAACGGTACTATAAATCTACCATGACGCCACCATAAACTTATTATCACGACACTATAAACTAACTGTAACGGCACTTTAAGCTTACTATAACGGCACTCGGAACTCAATTATTTGGGGTGTGCTGTTATTGCCCGCGTTGCTCAGGTCGTGCAGTGTGTTACGCGTGTTATTGTTATCCACGATGTCTAGCCCGGATCGTCATTTTGATAATAGGACAAGCGCCGAATCGAAAGTTTTTTTTGCAACGGTTGGCGAAGTTCTGGCCGTTTTCTAGGACATTTTGAGTTTTGTAGCTGGGAGTATTGAAATATTGTCGAGATGTATGTGATGGAGGTCGTTTATGTCCTTTCTCCGTCACAGCGTTACAAGCCGGCATTCTAACGATCTAAATTGTTATCGAAGACGTTTTTTTTATTCAACCTTTGTACGCTCAGTTAGGTGCATATTTTGTGAAAGTACCAGTATGGTACGGCTCTGGGTAAGACGATGAAGGGAATGTTCACACCTGAAGATGTTGAGGCAAGATCAGATATGACGTAAGCTCAGTTATAACTATCGCTACACCTTTGAGTGGAAAAGACTGCTCTAGACAACCCATTTATCTGTTTATTTAATGTGTCCCTCAGTACGTCACTGTTTGGTTACCTTATCGTTCCTTGCACAACATCGAGAGTCAACTGACGGCCGTTGTACATGGAAATCATGCTCTCGAACGCCAAATGTGAACGACTCAGCGAATATAATTGTTAGCCTTGCTTCATGGCCAATAGAATGGCAAGATTTGAGTGGCGTTATTATTGCGTGGTGGATGTCCGGGTGACCTTGGCATAGTTTCCCGAAAAAGTCTGCGTATTCTAGCGGGCGTGTAGCTCAGAAATTAGCGGGGTTTGGATCTAAAGAAGTGCAGGGCTGTCAACTGCCACCGAATGCTCTTCAAGATAACCATTTCAGCTTAAGCCCCCATACAAGTGTGGAACACTCCCTTCAACAAACTATCGAGTAGATACTTTAAGCAGTAACAATGCATCACATTGTTACTGCTTGCATTCCTTTTAGTATCAGCTTTACCATACTGCTTCTTCGCAGTTATTAACGCACAAGAGTATGTTTTCGCTTGGGAACCGTCATTTGAGACCCTGGCCATTGGTGAGGTCATCCGAAGTGATGGACTTGTCCAATACAATGCTGAAGTTGACTTAACTTCGCACCCTGCGACCACTATACAATAAAAAATAATAACTGCCATCAGTCATGCATCGATATTGACGCTATGATGCCAACGGTTCGCTCAAACTTAGTTCCTATCACGTCAAGCGTTAAAAAATCGGCTCCGATGACGCTCTTAGACTTTTTACATCATGCGAATATCAGCAATGCTCATGCAGATTCGTAACGTCGGGGGTCATTCGCGGTCATTGTCGTGGCAGATAATGTGAGAACCTCATATGACGTTAAGTCACCCCATGGAGGTAAATGGTGACACGACCGCACATAGCAACGGCCGAGATGTTGTAAGTCACAAACACAAAATATTTCGAGGTGGGTAGACTTTTGCTTAAAGGTCACTTATCGGGCTCTTTGTCCCACTGAGTGTGTCCGCGCTGTGTTCTACCTGCGCCACGTCCGTCAGTGTGACCCGCATCATGTGTTGGCCGCGTCTGCTGACACCGTTACTGTGGTCTGAACGGTGTCATGTGACAAGCATGCTTGCCCCAACAGAAAGCTGCTGGCCCGCGCCTTCCCCAACGAGAATAACCAGGCTATATCCGTACGGCTGGGCTGCATGTGGAAGGCCATGGGCCAAGACTACAAGAGCGTCTATTACCAAATGGCCAAGGACGCAGCGGCGGAACACAAGCGCATGTATCCATGTGAGTTGAGGTACCCATGTGTGAGTATTCATGCCAGTAACCATGTAGGTTTAGTTAGGCCACTTCAGTTGGGAGCTGGATGTACAGAGCCGCACATTCCGTCATGCATGAGATCTGCGAGATATCATATATGTACAGCTACAGCCGAAATAAAGACCCTTCGCGCTACAGTGCGCCTCACTTCTCAGAGGTCGATTTTGGAACCTTTGGAAGTGTAACGTAGCACAAAACTGCTGTGCGAAACACTCCTGATGCGGGAGCGAACCCTCGGCAGCATACAGATCAGAGGGGTGCAGTGATGGAGGTATGGAAGGGTGGATTTTGACGATTTGGTAGTGAAGCTCGACCGAAATTGAAGTGAGCTAAAGCGGTTGCTTTGCACTCGGCTCTGTCACATGTCAGAAAAAAGGGTGGCAAGCATACGTCGCCATGTTTCGCCTTATTCGGCAGAATGTACGGAAGAGAAAATAAGGAATCGCAGCGGCAGTTTTCTTTTGTTGTCTGTTTTTTGAACATTTAACCCTAACACTTTTGTAAGACGCATTTCAGGGATTACCTCCCCGCTAAGTGGTGCTTGTTGCGTGAGCCCTGAAACCGCCATCCCATCGTGAAACCCCGGGTCAACAGGAGAACTTTACGGCCAAAGCTTAACGTGCCGCATTGTTTGGCCCCGCACGTTCTACCCTGAGGCCAGAATCTTCTGACGTCACCTACCTTTTGCCGCCCCCGCTGCTGCTGGCCGCAGTCCATGCTAGCCAGTGGCAAATAATGGGCGCATGAAGCGACTCGAGCCCTCACCGCCACCAGTAGGCGAATCTGAATGCAGGCGTTCCGGCGCGGGCAAATTTGGCATTTCAGGAAGAAACATCGACACCTCCGGATTAACGAAACAACGTATTGTTAATATTGTAATTAATATCGCAAAACAAGAGCAGCAAGGCATAGCAAAACCATGTTACCCGAGCTTAAGTTGGTGGTTGTATCTGACTTTCATTTGGGAATGACGATTGTGACGTTACGCTGAAATTTTGAGCATATTGGACCGATTTCGCGAGGCCTTGGACGGAAACACACGGCCTAAATAAACGCATCGATGAACAAAACTGGCGTGCCCTTGGGTTTGAGACTTGGTGTGTATCTGAATATTTGGCTGCAGCCAACCAAAATACATGACTGGTCGTGCTAGTGAAAGATTTTAATGCCAGGTCCAAATTCTAGGTTAGATAAACACAATGTATTCAAATATATTTGTGGTGGTCTGATCACCCTTTCCACATGGCAGTCTCACGTAATCTTACAAAAAACTTGGGTCATCTGATTTTGGCATAATTCATTCTTCTTCCCAACAACAGTGTCGTTTTGTTATTCCGAAGGTGCCAACGTTTTTCCCAAATCTTACCCTAAAAAAGAGCAAGTGATATTTACCTTTATTTTCTCAGTCAGTTACAATAGGTCAATTATTTAGGGCGCCTGCACTCGGATTCGGCTGCTGGTGGTAGGGAGGGTTCGAGTCGCTTTATTCGTTTATTGTTTTGACTTGTTGGCATGAACTGCGGCCAGCAGAGGCGGGTGCGGCATAAGTCAGGGGATCACTGATGGCCTGCAGGACGAGCAGGGCCAAGCAGGTTAAATTTTCGCCGTAATTCCACGGCAAATTTTTAGTGCTAAAATCATGGATTAGAGCTCTTTGGCAGGTAATGATCACATGAATAGCGGCAGATTTGCATGCATCTGGGGACCCAACAGCTGGAACTGAGCGCGCACCGGGACCGCTATGTGAGGTGTGTGAGTAGCGCGCGGACGAGCACCCCACGAGGGCTCCACGGCCTACTCGTGACTGGCGCATGCAGCCCGCCATGGATGGACGGGGTGTCGCGAGGATGCAGGATGAAGTGAGAGACAGGATAGAAGTGACAAATAATTCGGACATGAGTCACGTTTTGTGCGATAAGATAGAGAAAGCCGGAAAAGGGTACGAGTTATGATAGAAATAGGACTGGGAATCGAATAATTTACAGCGGCGTCATATCCGAGCATGTGAATGCAAGTAATATAAAAGCACGGACCAATATGCAAGAACACCGCGAGAAGGGGCCAAAACACAAGCTCATAACGACATTTCGTGTCGCAAACACACTCCAGTAACATGTACCATCTCTCAGCAAATTTAACTACTACAAGTGAGTCAGCCCCTCTGCTGCAACGGGAGTTCTGACGTGGTCAATCCGACAGCGATTCGACTTCATAAGAAAGTTGCATGATGCAATAAAACGATGGCATGTTCAGCAACATATTTTCGAAATGGTGGAATTATGTTCTCTAGAACAGTCTTAAGAGGGAGTGTTCCCTACTCGTAGAGGGTTTGAACTGAAATAACCATTCTGAACATCATATCGTGCAGTTTACAGTCCTGCCCTTCTTAAGACTTAGAACCCTCTAATTTCTGAGCTATTCGCCCGCGAAATGTGCAGACTGCCTCGTGCAGACCATTCCAAAGTCTTTCCGGCATGCATGCCGCGACAGAAACGCCACTCCAATGCTGCTACCCCATTGGCTATGCAGCGTTCAAGGCCAAGACAAACGAAATTGTCGAGTCGCTCATGCCCGGTGTGAGCATGGTCTCCAGTTACAACGGACTAAATTGTCTCTCAGTCAGATGTTATGCACTCAGCGCAAGCTTCGAACACGAATCACGTTTTGTGCTGCGTTACAAAGGGAGTTGACCATGGGAACTATATGATACGAAAATCAGGCCTGTAATCGAATAATTGGAATAGCACCATAACCAAGTATTTGAACACAAGTAGCTAGCTTAAGCTCAGGGACAAGTATACAAGCGCGCCACCAGAACGGGCTAAAACACAAGCACATGACAATGTTGTGTTCAGCAAACATCTCCAGCACCGTCACGGATATCACTGGAGAGACTGAGGTACTACAAGTGATTGCTAGGGTGCAATTTCGCACTGCCAGTTTGGCAGCTCGCCTAACGCCGTGCAAATTGTTCATGGCACAATCAGTCAATGACCTTTTGAACGATATATTTACTAGATAAGGCATTTTTGCTGTCTAGAATAGTATTTTGCACTTGAAAGTGTATTAATAGTTGTAAGTGAGCTTATTTCATCATATATGATGCTTCCTTTTGTACCTTCAAATGTTGAAAATTCCCTTTAACACTTAAAAGCAAACCAATCATCACAAACCCTTCCTCTCACTCTGCTCGCCGCCTCAGACAGCCTCAGACGACGCAAGGGAAGGGGACGCTGGGGTACTCGCCGCGGACCCTGCGCTCGCGAGTCCGATTCGGTGCTCGCAGGATGAGGGATATGGAAACGTCATTAAGTTTTCCATGCATTTCGAACCCTTGCTTTTTATCTCAAATCAAAACAGTTACGTTTTGTTGCAAAATCAGTTGAACATTTCACTATCAATTTCTGCACACCTTTCTCACAACCATTTAGTAAACTGCTATGTAAAATGTAGACGTGCTTGTGTATATCGCCTTACTGTTTAATTTTTGGTCTTTGACGAATATTTTATTAAATACGATCGCTAAAAATTACCTGTTAACTAAATGCGAAGAAGAAGAAAACGTCTATGATACAAAAAAATAGATCCGACCGATCTAATTTTCTAAGCATGCTCAGAAGTAGACAAAATCTCAGTAAGCATAATTTTGTTTTAGTGCCACCGGATCAGGCGACCTCTACTGATTGAATTGGCATGCATGTGACACAGCACAAGAGTTGGCCGGTTATTGGGAATACAGCACTTGAGCCGGCCCATTGCTGATGATCGTCCCAAGAGTCAGGGGTGTTGTAAGGATTCAGGATAAATTGACGAGTCAGAGCAGCGAAGCGGAGTATGTACTTGAAGTTACGTGTCGAAAGATAGAAAACCCTGTTGGCGTGTAAAACTCCGTCGCGCGGCGGCAGATCGCTAGTGGTTGGTGACGCCACAGCGTCTTGGGCGTGGTTTCAGCCCAGTTAAGTCTTTTGATGCGCACGTTTCTCGGACTTGACCTTGCACAAAGTTTCGAGCGGCAGGTTTGTGATCTGCACCTTGAAATGTACTTGCTGTAGATGGGAACGGAATAATCAGTCACTTCGCTTCTAGCACGAATTTGAAGCAGTAGCATTAGGTTTTCGACATTGCATGACAGAGTAGCGTTATAGACAACCACTCAGCGTCAGCAAAAGCTCTTACTGCCACACATTTTTTGATCCCACACATCATCGAAAAGAATGGTAGCATAAATGCTTTCCACCAATGCAATCCCGTTACAGCAAACAATTACATGCCGAGCACGCTTCATTGCTCAATGTTCCAGCAGTATTTGAGCCGTGGTCACGGATGCGCCCGCAAGGTTCGAGACGACACACTGAAGGCACGCCGTCAAGACCAGGTGGCTTCGCTGACCCGCACCCGGCGGTACATATCGTCAGGCTCCCCCAACCTCCCTGACACGCGCGCTGAGGGCCGACCGCTGTCTTTTCAGCGTACGTGTACAGCCCGAAGGAAGCGCGCATGCGGAAGCAGGCGCGCGAGCTGGTGCGCCGCGAGAAGACAGCGAGGCCGTCGCCAGCCAGTCCGGTCGCCGAGTCCGGTACGGGCGATGTGTGTAAAACGCGGGTGTCGATTTGTTTTCTTTTGTGAGGTCCCTGCCCCCTCCTCCCCCAATGTTGAGTTGGGCCTGCCCCCACTAATATTGGCTTGCCCCCCCCCCCCCCAACGTCTTTCGCTGGAATATTACATAGCACGTGTGTAAAGGATGCTCATAGCACAAAGACTGTCTTTTTTATTTTGCTGCGTACTTGCGTCTTGCACCACTCTCATAACAAAAACCCATGGTTATTCTCACCACAAGATACAAATCGTAACAGCTGAGCAAATAGACAATGCAATAAACTTCACATTCCTAGCGCCATAAGACACGCAATGGTTTGTGAGGTTAAAGTGCAAGGCTCTGGAATATGGGGATGACCGAAGTCCTTAATGACTAACCCCACCCCCGCCCCCACAGCCAACTTGCGTGCCGCCTCCCATGACCGCCACAGAAGAGCGCCATCGGCGCTCTAGGTGGCCTCTAAAGGGGCGCCTTCGCGTGCCGATCAGAAGGGACGCGTGCGTCCAGTGCCTGCTCCCTGGATCCAATCCTGCATTACTTCTATACTGCTTAAATTAGAGACTTATAAACTACACAAAGATTAAGAACACACATTAGGTTGGATCAAAATAAAGTGGCCTAAATCCGGTGGGGAAAAATGGGGGAAGGTTATCGGGCCTTCGGTTCGCCCACCCTTCCCCCCCCCCCCCCCGCCTTACTTTATAAAGATTGACGCCCCTGGTATAAAGGGCTTATGACAACCAGCTTCAAACCGCACCGCAGCTCAACAGGTCTTCGATTTTTGTTTCACCCTGGCTTGTTTCGCACCGTCCCGAGCAGAGGTGCTGTTCTCTGGAAGTTCTTGTCCAAAGTCCAATCGAAAGTCCAAGGATGGATCAGCTGTCTAGTCGAGAAGTGTCCCAAAAGTCAGCGTGTCACAAAATTTCCAGTTTGAAAAAATCGATCTATTGTCACAAAAGCAACAGCTGTAAAACGGAGATCCAAAAGTCGTGCGAACTGCGAATGTTGCGAAAATCGGTGCTCGCGGTCCCATCTCAGCAAGTCGCATAGCCTAAGACATGCGTGCCGGGGTGTTCGTTGAGTGTTTCTATCCCATGTTTCAAGAAGTGTGTTTTTTTGGTGTGCTTGATCAATAAATTGCTTATGTTCAAGAACGAAATTATCTTTTAAACGAGCAGGATTAGAGAGAGTTCTACATTTGTCTGGGAATTTGAACCGAAACAGCCCTTTGAGAATCATTCGGTGCAGTTGACCATTCTTGCCGTTCTTTGAACCTAAAGCCCTCCAATTTCTGAGCTAAACGCCTGCAGATATGTGCAGACTATTTCGTGCAAACTATTTCAAGGCTTACATCACACCAAAGGGACGCCATTTAAATCCTGCCACCCCATAGGCCATGCAGTGCTAGAGGCCAATACAACTGTGGTCAAACCGTTCAGATCTAGCGTTAACAAACGTGAATTCCAAATGCAGTGGACGTCAGTTGGCCTCCAATCAATGTTGAGCAAGCCGCGCAAGCTCCAATCACGAATCATGTTTTCTGCGACATAATAGAATACCTGAACATGGTTGCTAGTTATTATAGGGAACCGAATGTTGAAAAACATGTTGTGTCATAACCAGGTATGTGAATGCAAGTTAAATTTTGAAACTCAATAATGAATTTGCAAGACAACCACGAAACAAAGCCAAAACACCAGCACGTAGCGATTTTTGAATCAGCGGATACTTTGAACACCGCTCCTGCCACCCCTCGGCGTGTTGAAATGCCAGATTTGACTAGGATTGCCAGATTTGACTGTGAAATTGCTAGGGTGGCAATTTCACATGGCTTGGCAGCGTCTGAACGTCATGCAAACATTCCATGATGCAATAAAAATGACGTACTCGGAAGCATATCAACTAAACGTAGAATGTGTGCTGTTAGGATAGCAGTCTTTTAGGTTAGGAGTATATCAACAGTTTGAAGCGAGCCTATTTTATCATATCTCGTGCTTGCTCCAATATCTTCAAATGTGGAGGACTCCGTTCAAATTAATTGAGATCTCTACCAATTTGCAACACAACGAAATGCTACTGGCTGTCCAAAACTTGAATTTTTCCGCGCTTCTGTCCAATTTTCAACTTGGACTCAGGATTTTTAGTTCAGTGATGTTATGGCGTCATGGATACCTGGGTGACCCCGTAATACTCTCCCAAAAATGATCTGCACATCTTCATTGGCGCGTAGCTTAGAGACTCGGAAACTAGACGGGTAAGGTCTTACAAAGTGCAGGACTGTGAATTACACCAAATGATCCTCAAGATGGTTATTTCAATACAAAATCCCGGACATATGTGGAACGCTCCATTTAAAGCTCACCGGATGTGGCAACTTCTGCTCTTCGCCATGTTCAGATGACGGCATTTGTCTCACATAAGTTCATTCCAAGCATGGCACAGAGGCACTGTTTGGTGGCAGTTGCGTTCTCCGCGGCGAGTAACTGGCGGACGGCTTACGATGGGAACGCGCGCCGCCGTGGGTGACGCTGCTGCCACCACCAGTGCCGTCACGTTGACTGTCCGCTGCAGGAGTGACTGATGTAGTACGCGCGACCGCGAGCGGCATGGCTGAAGGGGGCACCCGCTGCGGCGGAGACGACCGACCCAGCACGGAGACCAGGGCCAAGCTGATGGAGGTGGCCCAACTGCTGGAGTCGTTCTCAGCCAACGGGCTGTTACCGGAGGTGGGTCGAAACGGATGATTTTATCAGCAGGACAACGAGGGAATAACTCTGTTTTCTTATGGTAGTTTTAAGACTCCGTGTCTTTCCTGGGCTTCTATCACGTATGCATCGTCTCTTAAAGGCCGTCTTTGTCGTGGCCGTTGTCGTCCTCATTTCCCCTCACTATCTTCATGACATACACAAAAATCGCACAACGGGACAGAGCGTTAATGACTACACAGCAGCGCGCTGCGGTGAGTGTGGGTCACGGCTGGCGGCAGGGATAGGCAGGCACCCGGGCGTGGTGGCGGCAGGGGCAGGCAGGTGCCCAGGCGTGGTGGCGGCAGGGGCACGCAGGCGCCCGGGCGTGGGCCGTCATCCGGCACGCCCGGGGAGGTCGGCCGGCACAGCGCCCGACCCGCCGGGCCGTCGGTCGGCGGCGCCGGAAGCGGACGATATCCCTGCGCTCAGCGCGACCGCGACCTCGATGCCACCAGAGCGGATGTGCACGACATCCGGCGCGGTGCACAGGCGGGCCGTCGCAAACAGCAGGTGGCGAGGCTTAGAACGCGGATGGACCAGCCTCGGGCCTACTCCACCGGACCGCGCCATGCGGTCGCGGAGAACACGCGCAGACGGCGGCGGCGCCAGACGCTGCCCGACGCCCGATATCAGCAGAGGGATCACCCCCGGCCATGTCATCGCAGGCACCGCGACCTCGGCCGCGTCAGTCAGCCACAAAATCAGCCGTCACCGCCACCCCCACCAATCGCCTGGGCCCAGCGTAAACCTATGTTACTGTTATATATATGTATATATATATATATATATATATATATATATATATATATATGTATATATATATACATATAACAATTAGTGTAAAGTCCAGCGCGAGTAATATATTCCACAATGATCGACCACCGAATCACAAGCTCGCTATGACTGAGAGCCTCATGGTCAATGCCTGGGCACTTCGCGCAAGTAGTTCTGTCCTATAAGGCGAAAGTTCAATGGACAGTTTCCATCATTTAATTGAATATGAGTCATGACATGACAGTCCCATACGTTCTATGTAGATTCTAGTCTTTCTGTTCTTTAGTTTTTCCCCATGTAAGGTGAAAGCTCACTGAGAAGCGGCGTCATTTAATCGAAAATCAAACATGAGATGACAACTCACAAAACGTGGGACAAACGTACCATGCATGGTTAGTCAGTCTTATTTAGAGCGTTTCTTGAACTGCCTAAAAATTGCATACATTCGTCAGGCAAATAATGTAAATAATGGCGATTACAAAAGGTGCTTGAAGCCGGGTGGATATTTCAAATAACGACTAAAATTTCAGTTAGACAGCGTAATGCCGGTGATTTGAGGGACGATGCAGGGAAGCCGGCAATATGTAAAACACGTTCTTTTTCCTAACATGCCGGGTTACCCTAGACTCCGAAGACATTACAGAAGCATGCAACTTATTTGAGAAAAGTGCTTACCGTCCTCTAACGTACAAAAGCGGATCAAGCCGGCTACGTCCAAGGAATGGAATAAGGTTGAAACGCCAATAAGTACTGATGTTGATTCACAAACACACAGACAAGCTGTCGTACGGTCAGTTCGCGGTCAGTCATATGGCGGACATCCGGTCCCAGGCGGTGGTCACCAACGTGGGCTCAGACAAGGAACATCCGAAAGAAGGTCCTTTATTCCGCCACTTCTTTTTTACAGAACAAAACCCAGTATTGTGGTTTTTGCCACACTGCTTTTGGCAGGCATGATTTGAAGCTTCAGAATTGGTTTCTGTCTAAAATGCCGTGGCAAAAAGTTATCTTTTAACAGCAGTTGGTGAAATCCAGGCATGTGAAAACTTTGGTACATTATAGCCATGGACTAGAATTCAAAGTTCTGAACAGCCTATGCCCACGCCATGTTTTGATCTGTTAAGTGTGGAGGCAGATATTCTGGCAATTAAACAAAGTGCCTAACCGCTATTTTCGTAATTTTGTGACTATTGTAACTTGGCTTCCCTAGGAGAAAAAACGTTGAAAACGATAACTAGTGTTAGGAAGCTAGGCAGTCTCGGCAGTGTAGCTCTAGCTAGGTGGTCTCGGGAGTGTAGCTCTTGCAGTGTTGCCGTGTAGCTCAAGAGTGAGCTACACGGCAGATGAGTCGTTTAGTAAAATTGTGCACCAGCAGAAAACAGTAATACGTGTAAATCTAGCACAGTAGCCAGGACATTTCCTTATCTCCAGAAGGTGCTATGTGAATAAAGAGGGAACAAAGTACTTTATCACCACCCCCGTAATCTGGTCGTCGCGCTGGCCTCCCAGGAAAACTTACTTGGTTTACCCCGACCCTACCAGCCATAATTTTTAAAACATTCCTTTGCCTGTAATACATGAGTTTCGTTGGAATTAGTACTCGGAAGATAAACCGTCTTGAAACCCGTACAAATCCACTGAAAATTGAGCTCCCATCAACCAGGGTTACAGCACACCGACAACGGGTATGTGATAATGTTTACATTCTGCAAATGCACAAACATAATGACGGTAAACGTCGTACTCAAAATCGATGCTTGATGAGTGCAAGGACTCGGGGCGCAGGTTCGCAAAAGCAGTTCAGCGGAATAAACTGCAAACAAATAACGCCTACCTAAAACGCAAACCATTTCCTCCGGGATTTGGCCCACATACTTCCCAAAACTAAGAGCGGGTGGGGGCTGGATTCGAAGTTGGTGAGCCTGGAGACCCCGTCCCTCCCCCAGCTGACTGGGAAACTATACCACTGGTAAGCATCTCATCAAGTTTGCGTGTAAGGTCTGACGTGTACGCATTTGCGTGCCCATTGCGCCTTTATTTTGTATTGTACCTCAGCGTCATCAAACCGTTTTTAAAAGCGCCCAAATCCACTGCAGATAGCAAGCCTATGAACCAGGGGTAATAGAACTTCAGCAGTGGGTATGCCTTAGTTTTCATATTTTTTAAGTTCACTGAACTTGCCGTCTCAGAATATTCATTGTTATTCTGCTAAGAACTGCTGCTTAATGAGTGCAATATTCTTTAGCTACGGCTGCGTGGAAAGCCAGCAACGTGTGCGTATCTGTGCGCCAATCGTGTCATGTTTTGCATAATGAACCATGAGAACGAGACTGAGCTGTCGCCCCATGGCGCCAACCTCTGGGACATGCGTCAAATTACGCGGTGGGAAGGCAGCTGTCGTGTAGACCACAGCCGACCAGCGCACAGTGACGAACGCCGCTATGTTGAATGCTGCCGCCAGACCCAGCGACGACTGTCAGCGCCCGTGAGCCGGTCAGAAACCTCCGGCGCCGGACCGCCGCCGGCAGGCGGCGCCGACCTGACCGACCCGCCGGCCGCGGCGCCGCTCCAGGTGCGGGCGGCGGCGCCGCGGGCGCACGGCGGGCGCGCGGGGCCGGCGCCGCCTCAGGCCGCGAGCGCACGGCACGACGGCATGTCCGGCGGCCCGCTGAGCCCCGCGCACGGCCAGCCCTTCCACGCGAACGCCGCGCAGGGCCCGACCTTCCACGGAAGCTTCCCTCAAGGTCTCGTCATCCACGGAGACGTCGCGCACGGCCAGGCCGCTTACGAAGATAGTGCGTGTGGCCAAGCCGTCCATGGAGACAGCTTCATGTATGGCGTCACTCAAGGAGAAGGTCTCGCCATCGGTCAGTCCATGCAGGGGGACGGCCTCGTCCACGGCCAGCCGGCCCAGTACGACCCCCTCACGCACGCCTCGCTTGACTATGGCGAGCACGCGCTGCGCGGGCCCGTGAGCCTGGCCAATCACGTGGTGCTCTACCCTGCTGGTCACGGCAACCCACTGGCACAAGGCCCTGTCAGCGGCGGTGGTCACGTGACCGACGCTGCGCACTGGTGCGCAGATAACCGGCTCGAGTCCCAGCATTGGACAGCAGGTGGGTCAGTTTGACAGCGATACATCCTCATCGGAAGCCGTTCCGTGCCGAGCAATATTTCGATTTAATGCGTGCCTTATGCCTGGCCAGTTTAGAGTCGGAGACATTGCCTATCTAAAATTGCTGACTTTTCAATTTGCAAATCGTAGTTTGCCAATCTTTACCATTTGAAATAGACGCTGTATTTCTAGCCTTATAATATATGTCTAGTCCTATAATGTCGCACCAAAGACAGCTCACTTAGGCAGCCAGGCTGACTTGCAAAACTGCTTCTTTTCTATTACCAAAGGTTGATAGCAATTCAACTCCATCAAATGGACTTTGTGTTAAAGCCTAGCAGCTAGAATACTGCCAGCTTTGCACCAGCGTATTGTCAACTCAGCTATCATGTTGCCATGCCAAGATATACACGCGTTACAAAAGCGCTAACAACACGACTGAAAAGCGGTGTAATAGAAACAAACACTCGTTCCATATTGTTTAAATATTCCAGCAGGGTGATGTTTAGAACTTTTAAAACATTGGCAGCCTGTCGAACTGTTGCCAGTTTTCCGAGCACGAATGGATTCGGCACACTGCCAGAGTTAAGCATACCGGCTGAACACTGGGAGCATGGCTTAGACCGTGCTGCAGCTATTGTTCACGGCTACAGGTAATGCCTGGTGACCACGATGGCGGTAGACCTGCATCGAGTACGAGTCAGCCGACTGTTCGCACCTCGCACTGTGACCCAGAGTTGGATGAGATCAGTGGCAGCGGCTGTGACGGCGCCAGGAGCGCTGCCAGAGCCGCGCGTCAGCCCGCGCGGCGGTGACCGGAGCGGCAGGCGGCTCTCCCGCAGTGCGCTCCGGCCTGCTGCTGGCCGCCTCGCACCGGCACGCCGGCGGCTGCTGCCGGCCGGCCGGCGTCTGGGCCCAGAACACCGGAGCGCCCTGCGATAGGACGCTGCCGATCGCAGGTCAGCACCGGGCGGCACCGGCACCGGCACATGGCGCCGGCGATGGACATCTGATGTGTGATTATACTGCATCTCTCCCCCGCTTGTTCTTTATCTTTACAATGTCTTTCTGCCTTTCTGCCTGAGTACTCCAAAATACTGTCCCACCTGTCTTTCTGCCTGAGTACTCCAAAAAATAAGAGAAGGCTACGTACATATCATACAGGGCTAACCCTCTTTCAGTAGTACATACTGGCCGTGATTGCCATGCTGTACCCGTGCACACCAGCACCCGTGTCAGCCGCGAGAGACAATGTCGCGCCGTGCAGCCCTGCCGTCGCCTGTGGCGACCCCCTCTGATGGTGCTGGGGCCGGCCAGCCTGGCCAGAGACGGGGCCGCCGGCTGAGGCCTGCCGCCAACTACGAGTAGAGCCAGGGCTCACGGAAATGAACGGTGGCCCCGGATGGAGCTGCCCTCGCGTCACGTGTCAGTGTCACATGCCACGTGACACGCCAGCTTGACGCATCGTGTGACGCGTTCTTTACGACGGCGTCGGTAGCGGCCTCGGCACCCGGGGCCCTGTTGCAAAGCCCCGTCTTCTCCGGCGGCCGGCTGCCGCGGCCGCAGCCGGTCTACTCACACGAGTCAGGGTCCCGCTGCAGGGTCGCCGCCTGCTGCGAAACGGCTGCGTATCAGGTGAGCCCGCCCCGACCCGCTTGTACGTCTTACCGGCCGATGACCTACGAGGCCGACCGTGTGTGTCAGGTGGGCCCTCCTGGACCCGGCTGTAGGTCTTACCGGCAGCTGACTTACCTGACCACTCGTCCGATTCTCAGACGTTTGGTTAGATTTGGACGGCAGAAAATACTCTGATGCTTTCTGGAGACCCGTGGCTTTCTCAATGCAATTCACTTGGTATAAGCCACAAAACAAAACAAACTTTCGCATTTATGCGATGGTTTAACGGTCAAGTTTTCATTGTATTTCATGGCCTAGAACAAACTTTTTTGGAATTATCCGTGCTCATTGGTATTCAGCTATGGAACCAATATATTGGACGTCGATATTTTCCGTGTCAGTATTTTATGGTGTCAATATTTTGTGTAGTAAGTTTTTGAGGGTTGATATCTAGTGGTCCTTAATTTTGCGGTCCCCATCTTGCCTATTTATTTTGGTGTGTCAATGTACTGCCGGATAAGCATGGATTTAGCATGCACCAAACTATGCTACGCTCTTTCCAAGCGTTTCGTCTAACGCATCGGCCGGCTAATTTATCGATAAGCGGGTCACGGCGATGTCGCGATTCACGTAGAAACAGATGAAATGTTTGTATCGCCTCCACATACCTGTTAAATTGCGCTTGAATACGAACGGAAGAATTAGTGCCGGTAACCCAAAGCCACCCGAACATGGGTGCCGGCGCATGCTGGGGAAACTTCGGTCACCATCCGTAGCGGCGCGCGGAAGCCAAACAGGAAATCCAGAGCACATCACTGCTTTGATGCTAATCTGCTGACTGGCCTCCGCGTCCGTGCACGAAAAAGCAGGTCAACTTTCTAGCATGTCACGCCGGAATGGTCGCCAGCAAGTGGAGCCGTTCACGCGTGACAGGGCAACTTCTATCTTAGAGGGCTGTAGTGCCGGCTAAAGCCACCGTTGTGGGCGCACGGCACGCGCACCGCCGTGGGAAGATTGTCAGGAGGTCAAGTGTGGACGGGGGGGGGGAGGTCTCACACTTGGCCAGCGTGACAGAGCGTACACTCGCACTCAGCGAGGCGTCAGTGGCGAGAAAATGTCCTCGCGAGCGTCTGGAACAGACGAACGCCTCGCCCAAGTCAGGTCGTTGCCCTGGTTTGAAGGCTGCGTTGTGCTAACCTCTGCGGCACGCAACTTTAACACGCGCTCGGGTGGGGTGGAGGTCACATTGACCCCCGCCTCCGAAGGTTTCTCCAGAATGATTTCCGAACGGCGCGGCGTAGCCGTGCCAATTTTTTCATAGCTGTAAACAATCGACTAACAGATCGTTTTGCATTAAAAATTTAGATGTCCCTTGTAAGGTCGCTGACGTATGGCAGGTCAAAGTCAGGCCACGGTTTCAGCGACGGAAATTTCTAGGGAATCCTTCACTCTGATCCAACAACGGAGTGTTAGACGAGGCCATACATCTCTGAGATGCTTTCTTAGGCAACACAACAGTTGATGAGAAAATTGAATTGAACTAAGGTCAGGTATGAAGGTCACACCAAGGTCAAAACCAATCTGTTTACTACTCTGGGGCTTGCTGTATGAAATCGTTTCTGGCGCTCGTTTTGAGTTAACTGATGGCAGGAACCGCATTATACATCTTCCATTGACTTCTTAGAGGTCAAAATAAGACATTGACCTAGAATGACCCAGGTCAACATTTTGTTTTAGGAACATACTGCCTAGCGTAATCTTTGTCGCTTAGTCAAATGCAAAACGCAAAGCAATCTTGTGTGATTTTTGTCGTCTTGACCTTCAAAAGGTCAAAAAAGGTCACTGACCTTAGACGAGAATGTGACCTTTTGCTTATTAATGGTTATCTACGTTCTGGGGGCATTTTTCGAGACCAACCTGAAACTTTACCTTGTTTGACCTTTTTTGACCCGAAGGTCATGCCCTAGGAGCCTGAAACTTTGACTTGAGTGAGTTAACGTACAGGTCAAGACACCCGGTAAATTTGGTGTCTAGCTTTCTTAGCTCCCGAGATCTCAGGGGAATTGACAGGGAGGGGGGGGGGGTCAAATTGACCCTCCCCCACTCGAGCGAAGGTTGTCTAGGTGGCCACCCGGGCGCGTGTTAACAGGATTGCAGGCATCTGAAGGGCTAAAGGTGTCCTTTGCTGGAAATTGTACGTCGTAATGAACACAACTGATGGCCGAAGGCTTATAGGAAGTATTCCACATTTCATTGGGGTTTTGAACTGAAATAGCTATATTAAATACCTTTCGATGCAGCTCACGGCCATGCCCTTTGTAAGACCTAAAACCCTCTGGTTCGTGAGCCTAAAGGTCGCAAAAATGTTGGAGGGTAATCGTGGTACAGCATTTCAAGGTAACCTTAGGCCGCATTACGTCATAATAACGTCATCCAAACCCTGCCATTCCATTATCCACGCGCGGATCGCGACCAAGAAAGGTAGCATTGTCAGGCTATTCATGTATGGCGTTCGTGGGCGCAATTTCCAGACATAATGGCTGTCAACTGGCTCTCGGTCAATGCTATGCATGGTGCGATGGCACAATCAAACAACGCATTGAGGAGCCTATATACTAAATAAAGATATTGTATTGTCTGGAGCAGTCTTTTCCACTTAAAAGCACACCAACAGATATAAGTGATATTTTCATCATATCTGATAACCGATTCAATATCTTCAAATGTGGAACACTTCCTCTTAAGTTTGCAGCGTGACTCCACAAGGAAAGCACTACGGCCAGGACGGTGCACACGCCGATGACACGAGATGCATGAAACTAAACGACTTAGGGATGTAGTTTCCTGTTCACTTGGGAAGGGTTGAGTCTCCTCCCCGAACTTGTGGTTCTAGCCGCCCCCCTCCCCCCCCCCCCCCTCCCCATCTTCGAGAAGTCAGTGGACCAAATCTGGAAAAAACACGTTTGTTAACGTATTTGGAGGTGGTACACATAATTTTTCATCGTTCAGCGCTCCCCACCCATTCTGTGAAACTACGCCCATGACAAACTGCCGTACTGCCAAAGTAGGCCCCCGCCAGCTGCGTTTTCCTGCTGGCACTGCCCGGTTGCGAGCGGCAGTGGCGCTCCGCTGCCGGCGGCTGACAGGCGCGGCCGTCGGCTGCAGTGGTGCGGCCCGGCCGTGTTCGGTCCCCCGGAGAACGGCTCGCCGCAGCTGCTGCCCGCCCGCCACGGCCCGGCCACCGCCGCCGCCGCCGCCGCCCTCCCCTCGTACGCTCTGCAGGTGAGTGTTCCTAGTGTAGCGGAGACGCGTGACTTCACTACTCGCCATCACGTCGACGCGGTGACTGAGCGAGTGTGCGCATCCCAGTCTCTGCGTGTACGTCTGCCAACACTACTCGCGCGGCCGCGACCGTGCGCGCTTGCGTGCTTGGGTGATCGCACGTGCGCCCGCCCGTCCGAATGTACCGTTAGTTCGGCGTCTCAACCGGCGGTGCCAAGTCGGACGCTCGGCGTCCACCGACAGCCCGAAACGTGCTGGTCGTGACGTCTCTGCGCGGCCAGGCGACGCTGTACCAGCCGGCGGCGGGCGGCGGCCCGAGCCCGGCCCCGGCGGCCGACTGGTGCCGCCTGTCGGCACGGCTCGGCTTGGCCGGCCGCGCCCGGACGCCTCCCGCCGGCCACCGAGCTCCGCCTCTGGACGGCAGGTCAGCTGTCCGCCCGCCCGTCCGCGCTCTCGCGTGCGTGTGCGTGTGTGTATGCGTTGTGCCAGTTGTTGGTTGCAGCGCCGGTATTGTAACATCTGCAACGTGCACAGCGAGACAAACCAAGTGGAAAACGCAGTACCTTGTCGTGACCACCAAACTGAAACTGCGCTAGCCAAACCATCGCCAACACGGCCAGCCGAGACGTTGGCCTGTTGTGGCATGGCTGGCGCGACGGCTGACGGGTGTCGTGTGCGCAGGGTCGCCTGGAGGGCCGAGTCGGTCGCTCAGCGAGGAGCAGCGCCCTCCGTCCAGCGGCCGCCAACCGGCGCCCTGTGGGCCCTGCCAACAGACTACCTGCGCGCCGCCCGCAGTCCCAACATCGAGGACCTGGTCAGCGCCGGCGCCGACTCGCTGTACCTTTGAAAGGTTACCGGCTCGCTGTCACGCAGTCGGCGTCGCCTCGCTGTATTTCTGACCGGTGACAGTGTGGCAAGTCACCAGCACGCGCGTCTCATGGTGCCCTTTATCAGCGGTGGCTCACCTCCGGGGCGGAGAAAGCAGCCGGGAGCATCTTCCGTTCCAGACGTCTGATCGGATGGCGGCATGGTTTGAAGGACTCGTCGTCGCTCGACGGCCGTCCCACTGCCACCATTACGTATTGAGTTCCTCCCAGTTAATATAGCGTGTGAGACCCGACAATGAGAAGTCCAAAGTGCTCCAGCTTTCGTCATTGGGCAAAGAAGGGCAGGGGTTGCCCGACCTCGTTCGTTCCATTCACCCGCGCCTGCGACGCGCCACGTTTTACGACCAAAAGGCCGCGCCGGTCGCCGGCTGGTCAGTTTCCGTTGCCTCTGTTCGTGTTTAATGCGTTACCGCTCAGCTCGTCCGCGGGCAGCGCCAAGTAATCCCTTTTTACGCGCGTTTTCTAGTTCATGTTCCAGTTGCCAGTTCGTTCGCCGGCTTGCAATGAATGCTTTATCTTTTCGTTTAAGCACGACACCGGAATAAAGCAGACGACTAGGTTACTTCGAGATTGCGGGCTGTACTGAGCAAACCGACTGCGACGGAGACGGCGCGCGGCCAGTCGTCGCTGCCTTGTGCATGCCGCTGCCCTCGGTGCTACCCCGCGGCCCCAACTGAAGCACGCGTAGCGCCGGCCGCAGACTGGTGGTCCCCGTCCGCTATCGGCCGCACTGTACGCTGCCGCTGTCGGTCATCAGCTCCTGTTCGCCTGTGCGGGCTGCAGCTCACGGCTACGTCACGAACTGCTGACCTCCCATTAATGGGGCATTCTCGAATATCGCAAACGGACTGTGAATGAACATGTATTTTATAGAAAAATCCATCTCGGGACAGAGCCGCGGGGTTGACGACCTAACTCATGAGGAAGATCAATTGAGCCGATACTGCAGTACAAAGCCCAAGTCCTGAGCAGCATTCCACAAGTGGTAGCCGCGCTTCGTGCCCATCCCCCTCGGGTGCGGGCGGGGGCTGGCAGGGGGGGGGGGGGGGTCAGGTCCTAACGGCGCTCCACCTCCCGCTAGAAGGGACAGAACCAATAACGAGCCCCGCTCACGGGGAAAGCGGGGGGAGAGGGTCACCTGACCCGCACCATAACACACGCTGCCCGTGAGGCTCGAGTGACCCGGTATCAAACACGGAGCCGGGGCGCAACAAGGTCCACCGTCACGCAGCCGGTCGCCGATGCCGTCGGGTCGCCGGGCGGCTTACGCGACGAACGCAGCCAATACAAAGGGCACCATCAGCCTTGATGTTCGCAGAACACGAGTACAAAACAAGGTGGGCTAATGTAAAGCGTGGATCAAAACTGATCAGACGGAGTCCCGCACGTCCTGAGCGCGACCGCTACGTTCCATTCTCGTCGCGTGACATATTGTCGATGGTGCCTTCGCTTGACCGAAGCCTCAAGTGTCCGCAGAGCACAACGGACGCCTAACTGCAGGCTCGCGAGCGGCCGTCGTGAGCCACTACATCGACGCCACCCTTCGGGACGGGAGCCACAGGTCAGTGGACACCCAGACAGCGCACACTCGGGTGCGCGTCGCCCCAGAGCGACCAGCCGGCGACAGCGTCAGCTGCGCAGGCGGACCTGAAGGGCCGACGGCGGCAGCGGCGGTGGTCTCGGCCGGCGGCCGTCCGCCCCGCCGGGCTCGGTCGGCGGCGCGCGCGGCGGTACGCGTCAGCAGCGCGCCTCAGTAGCGCTGACTGTACTGGCTTGGATTGGGCCCGCCGCTCGACTGGCCGAAGCTCATGCTGCCCGGCTGCTGCTGCTGTTGCTGCTGCTGTTGCTGTTGTTGCTGCTGCTGCTGCTGCTGGCCCATGTGGCTGGAGTGCTGCGCCCGCAGCCGGGTCACGGGTCAGCGCTCGGTCAGCGTAGCGCATCGCGGCGCCCACAGTCAGTCTGAACATCAACTGTGAGCCACCAGTCCATTGTAAACTCGCATGCCTGTCTTACTATGCACCCGCGGAGCTTTGTTACGTCTTCGGTCCTAAAAAAAAAACTCAGCTGCTCAGCCCCAGCGGACAGTCTGCCCGGCCATGCGGACATTCACCTCAACGAAATCGCCCAGCGCACGTGTGATGGTCTGCCCCGGGGCGACAAACAATGCCACACCGTGGTAACGATCTTTTTCAGCATGAAAAGGTGACATTCCAGCATCCGAGGTTGCCGCCAGCCTGGTGGCCGAGCGGATCTCGCTTCTCCATAGCTCAATTTAGATCTCTATTGACGGTTCGGGAAGCATTGCTGGTACTGGTTCCGGCTTCGTTTGCGAAGACATAGAGCAAAGTTTCTGTCTACAGGACACCTAACAGTGTTCACCACTTAAGTTTTCGCGATTTCACCGACAGTGCAATGCATGTCCGATGTCGCAGGTAGCGCGATTTGATTTTGTGAGGACCTCTGCCATTATCCCCCCCCCCCCCTCCCCCCGGGTCGGTGGCGACGGCGGCGCCGCGTCTGTGCTCACTTGCTGGCGCGCCATCTGGTGGCTGTGGTTGTCGCTGGCCTGCGAGGTCACCTGGTGCGGTCCGCCGTGACCCAGCCGCACCCGCTTGGCCGCCTGACCGTGCGACTCGGCGCCCTGGCCGCACAGGGCGTGGCGTTAGCGGCGGCTCGTGCGCCCACACGCGGCGCGCGGCGGGCCGGCCACACACGCCACAATCTCGGATACGTGTCACACACGCGCCGCCAGAATGAGCCTCGGTTCGAGCGAAGCCGCGGACTGGCGCGGCTCCAGCGGCGAGGCCCGAGCCGTGCCGTTACGACCCGGCGATTCGCCGGCGCCACGACGGGCGGCGATTTCGGCGCAGAGCGGCGGCGACGCCGCAACACACGAAGGCAACGGTCACGTGACGGCCTCGACTCAGCTGACGGTGGCCGGGGGCGGCGGCGGCGGCGGCGGCGGCGGCGGCGGCGGCGGCGGCGGCGGTGGACGTCGGGCCGGGTCGGGTCGGCCGCTGCTCGTGCTCAGAGGTCGAGGTCCCGGAGGTCGAGCTCGTGGCGCCGGTGCTCCCTCGCTTTTCTCGAGGGCCGGCTGTATAGCGTTTGGGAGACACGGCGAGGGGACATGGTGCATACAGAGGTTAAACGGTCACAAGACTCCTAGCGTGAACGTGACGCGCGCGAGCGCAGACTGAGCAATGGACGTCCATGCGGAATTGGACCCTGCTGAAGAATGGCGAGGTAAAGAAAATAAACGAACTCTAACGCCGGTGTCATGACCTGGCACTGTCCAGTATATCTCTAGTATATCCAGTGCCGTACCACCATTTCCTCACAAGAGGTATATTGCAATTTACCTATCCTTCAGCGGTTTTGCCCACGCGTCCGCCCTGCGAACGCTTGGTGGTCGCAGCTGGAGCGGCAGATGCGCCGAAATGTACGTCCGTCAACGGAATACCGTATTGACCTCATCGCGCCTCGCACATTTTAGAAAACAGCTCACTCGCGATGGCCCACGAGGTGCGGCCAAAAAGCTGCGTTCAGCAGCGATGTGTGACGGATGACACACACCGACACGCTGTCCGATAGAGCACGCCCGCGGCTCGGCTTCAGAAAGAACGCGTGTATGGCGTCCAGAACACAGCGCGGTTCCGTCGCCTCATTGGCGGCCGAGCTCTGTGACGTGCTCCAAGTGCAGGGTGGCAACAGACAGCCCCTGCTCGGCCTGTCGGAGCATGCGCGACCACCGCCCCTGCCAGCTGACCCGGTCCACAGCGGCCGCCGGTCCGCTCCACAGCCTCCGCCGGCCCGCCCAGCCCACAGCCCCGCCGGTCCGCTCCACAGCCTCCGCCGGCCCGCCCAGCCCACAGCCCCGCCCGTCCGCCCAGCCCACAGCCCCGCCCGTCCGCTCTACAGCCTCCGCCGGCCCGCCCAGCCCACAGCCCCGCCCGTCCGCTCCACAGCCTCCGCCGGCCCGCCCAGCCCACAGCCCCGCCCGTCCACCCCACACGGCGCACGATCAGCCGCGCCCCCAGACAAAAGCAGGTCCGTCGCCATCACAGCGCGTACCACCGTCCCTACAGCCAGGAGCGCCACAGGGCGTCCAGCCACCTTCCGCCAGAGTACCTTTCTCACCTTGTTGGCGGAGGACTTGTCCTCCTGGTCTTCCTCCGTGAGGAACTCGCGCTTCGGGTATGGAATGCTGTGCCCCTCGAAAACGCTGCAACACGTTTATGACCGTAGGATGTTGTTGCTCAGGAGCCACGCCACGCGCATTGACGCGTGCCCTTCCTCTGGATCTCTAGGACGCTGTGATAATTGCAGTGGATGTAGCCACCCGAACCCGGCGGCGAACACAAACGCGGCTAAAAGTGA